AACTTGGTAGACACCCATTAGAACATGTTTCATGCTAAATATCTTAGCTGTAGCTCTTTTGGTTCTTTAAAAGAAGATTTCTTAAGTTTTTACTATATGCATATAGGAAAAATCAATGACCCCTGGGGCGGGGCCAATTTTGACCCAAGGGCTTTTATTTAAACAAACTTGGTAGACACCTATTAGAACATGTTTGATGCTAAATATCTTAGCCATAGCTCTTTGAGTTCTTTAAAAGTAGATTTTTTAAGTTTTTACTATATGCATATAGGGAAAATCAATGACCCCCCGGGGCGGGGCCAATTTTGACCCAAGGGCTTTTATTTGAACAAACTTGGTAGACACCCATTAGAACATGTTTCATGCTAAATATCTTAGCTCTAGCTCTTTTGGTTCTTTAAAAGAAGATTTTTTAAGTTTTTACTATATGTATATAGGGAAAATCAATGACCCCCCGGGGCGGGGCCAATTTTGACCCCAGGGCTTTTATTTGAACAAACTTGGTAGACACTCACTAGAAAATGTTTCATGCCAAATATCTAAGCTCTAGCTCTTATGGTTTTTTAAAAGAAGATTTTTAAGTTTTTACTATATGTATATAGGGAAAATCAATGACCCCCTGGGGCGGGGCCAATTTTGACCCAAGGGCTTTTATTTGAACAAATTGGTAGACACTTATTAGAACATGTTTCATGCTAAATATCTTAGCTTTAACTCTTTTGGTTCTTTAAAAGAAGATTTTTTAAGTTTTTACTATATGCATATAGGGAAAATCAATGACCCCCCTGGGGCGGGGCCAATTTTGACCCCAGGGCTTTTATTTAAACAAACTTGGTAGACACATATTAGAACATGTTTGATGCTAAATATCTTAGCTCTAGCTCTTTGAGTTCTTTAAAAGTAGATTTTTTAAGTTTTTACTATATGCATATAGGGAAAATCAATGACCCCCCGTGGCGGGGCCAATTTTGACCCCAGGGCTTTTATTTGAACAAACTTGGTAGACACCCATTAGAACATGTTTCATGCTAAATATCTTAGCTCTAGCTCTTTTGGTTCTTTAAAAGAAGATTTTTTAAGTTTTTACTATATGTATATAGGGAAAATCAATGACCCCCCGGGGCGGGGCCAATTTTGACCCCAGGGCTTTTATTTGAACAAACTTGGTAGACACTCACTAGAAGATGTTTCATGCCAAATATCTAAGCTCTAGCTCTTATGGTTTTTAAAAGAAGATATTTAAAGTTTTTTCTTTCGGTTGCCATGGCAACCAGAGTTCTGCATGGAATTAAATTCTTTGAACAATTTTTAAAGGTGACCACCAAAGGAACATTCCTGTGAAGTTTGGATGAAATTGGCTTAGTGGTTTATGAGGAGATGTCATTTAAAGTAAAAGTTTACGGACGGACGGACGGCCGGACGGACGGACGACGGACGGACGCCGGACGAAAAGCGATCACAAAAGCTCACCCTGTCACTTTGTGACAGGTGAGCTAAAAATCATCGAACCATGACCAAATTCCAACTTGACCTGCGCATTCCTTTGACATATCCATATGTCAATTTTGAGTTGAATATGTAACACTGTTGGGTTGATAATGAACAGAAACTGTAAATTTCATATCATTTTCAAAGTGAAAGGGGCATTACTCTGCCAAAAATCATTGAACCATGACCAAATTCGAACTTGGCCTGCACATTCCAAAAATATATCCATATGTCAAATTTGAGTTGAATGTGTAATACTGTTGGGGAGATAATAAACGGAAACTGAAAATTTCATATTATTTTTTAAGTGAAAGGGGCATAACTCTGCCAAAAATCATCAAACCATGACCAAATTTGAACTTGACCTGCGCATTCCTTTGACGTATCCATATGTCAAGTTTGAGTTGAATGTGTTGTACCATTGGGGAGTTAATGAACGGAAACTGAAAATTTCATATTATTTTCAAAGTAAAAGGGGCATAACTCTGCCAAAAATCATCGAACCATAACCAAATTTGAACTTGACCTGTATTTTCTCATAACATATCCATATGTCAAGTTTGAGTTGAATGTGTTGTACAGTTGGGGAGATAATGAACGGAAACTGAAAATTTCATATTATTTTCAAAGAAAAAGGGGCATAACTCTGCAAAAAATCATCGAACCATGACCAATTTCGAACTTGACCTGTATTTTCTCATGACATATCTATATGTCAAATTTGAGTTCAATATGTACAACGGTTATTAAGATAATGAACGGAAACTGATGATGATGGAAGGACGGAATGACGGAACAGGGTAACACTATATGCCCTTGCCATTATATGGCGGGGGCATAACAATGCATGTTAAAAAATGCATTCAAAACGCTAGAATTGATGGATGAGTATATAATTATAAGTACAATACTCATCACTGGTTACTAATCATACTCAAAATCATATTCTCTAGAAGTCACAACATGGCCTTTATATGGAGTTGCTTCTGACGCATTATGGACAGGCTTCAAAAACTCTCCCTGCTAGAATACTCGTATGTAAACTTTGACAATAATTCTTAATACTATATACAATGTACTGATTAACTTAAAAGACTGAGTAACTATAATTGGAAACAAGGATATTTGAATTCTGTATCATTTTATGACTAAATTAATCTGTAAATATTTTGTTATTATTTTTGTGATGGAAATAATTATAACTAGAACTATCACTAAATGTGATTATTACCCACGCAAGACTGCTTCGGAAATGAGGAAGTTACTAGTAACAGAATACCTTGTAAAAGAATTGAAATGAAGTTATGGTTGTGGAGTTGTGGACTGGTGGTTCTTGTATGTTGCATTTCCTTCCATGTGGTTCATGACCATTGATGAAGTTTTATTAAATTACTCTGTACTAAGTCCAGAAAGAAGAGTAACGCTTCTTAAGCACTGCACTTCCTCTCATTGCGCTTGACCATTGTATGAAGTTGCATTAAATTCTAAACATTAATTTTTAAGTTATGCACCTGACAAGGAAAAGGAACAAAGGCAATTACTCTACAAATACTGAAGATGGAGTTATGGTTATTGTACACTGCACTTCCTCTCATTGCGCTTGACCATTGTATGAAGTTGTATTGAATTCCAACTACTAGTTTTCAAGTTATGCACTGGACCAAAAAAAAGGAACAAAGGGCAATAACTGTAATTTGTCCAAATAGAGTTAGAGTTTTTGTGCACTGCACTTCATCTCACTGCCCTTGACCATTGTATAAAGTTTCATTGAATTCCAACCATTAATTTTCAAGTTATGCACTGGACAATAAAAAGTAACAAAGGGCAAAAACTCTTAAATGAGTCAAGAAAGAGTTATGGTTTATGTGCACTTCACTTCCTCTCAATGTGCTTGACCATTGTATGAAGTTGTATTGAATTCCAACCATTAGTCTTCAAGTTAAAAAGGAAAATGCAATGGACTGCTGGACCGACTGACCACTGAGTGACTACTAACTTAATTTGGGGGGTACAATAACTCTGAAAACAAATGGGGATTTAAACATGTAATGGCATCATAAACCTTTAGCCTGCTGGATTTTTTGTTTGTTTTTGTTTTACGGTGCACAAAAACAGTTTAGGTCAAATATGGCACCATTAAAAAGCAGGAAAGATTATTCTATTTAATCTTGGGGGTTCAAACTAAAAGTAACACCAGGGGCAAAACCATCTCACCTGCTGGAGCTAAGAGATGCATAGTTCAAAGTGATGTTTTGTCACCTCTTATGATCACCCAGGGTGTTTAATCTGCAATTTGTTCAATCTTTAACTCGCAAAGGTAAACCTTTGCCACAAGGGCCACAGATCTGCCACTGTTCACTATTCAGCCAGTACAAATTTTGAAACTTTCCCTCAAAATGATGAATTGTATTTTCCACATTGAAAGATGAACACTACCATTGAGTAACAATTATAATGTATGGTAACATGAAGTCCATACTGTTCTCCATACTAAAACCATTCCATGTGAGTTTCTTGTAAATTTCTGTCGTAATTCAAACATCATTATACAGTGTCAACAGATTTTCTCTAACATTTCTATTTTCTATAAAAGAAGACATAAAAGTATATTCAACATTCTTGTAATGAAAGGTAATGGTGTAAAAAAGTTCGAACTTGCTGTTTTATCTTAAGAGTGAAATTTTTTAATGAAAATCCATAACATCAAGAAAAGGCATGACATATCCACAGTGTATAAGCAAATCTATTTCCTGTTTTGTTAAGAAAGGTTCAAGTTATATACATGTATACAGTGGCACCCAAGAAAGGTTCATGCAGTGAATGGAAGAAGCAGGTGTTTGTAATTGCAAGACGTGGTTCACATTGAATTGTATTATAATATAAGGCTTATTATAATAAGGCTGGCGTGACTGTGATCAGGAGACAGTTTCATATAAGCTTTAAACTTTCTACTCAATCCTGGATGCAATTTATGTATTGTAATTTTGTTTGTAAATATGGAAAAAAAAAAATATTGTTTAAACCAAGAGTCCAAGACTGAGCTTTCTTAACTCAAAACCACAGAATGTATGCACGTTTTGGCTTTTAAAGATTTTGGCTAAGATGCAAAAATACAACCAAGTTTAGGCAATCATTTCATAATGGAAACTATCACTTCATGCAGAATTACTGGTAACAATCTTATAAAGGGGAGTGGTGGCCTAGTGGTGAAGATGTCTGCCTCTCAACCCAGGGATCATTGGTTCAAGCCCTAATCAGGTCCCAATTATATTTCTTACTGTGATACCAATACTGGTTTGTTCCAGAAAACGGACCCGGAAGAAAAGAGATTAATATAAGTTTCGCAAGGGAGCTTAAATAAATGTTTAAACCTGCAATATTATACAGGTCAATTGCCATATTTATATGCTTGATCTGTATTTTCTTCCTCTCTAAATAATAATTGAATAATTACCCTTCAATTTTTATTATTCTTTATTATTATTCATTATTACTGTAAAGTTATATCTTACCTAAATTTGAGATCTTTCTCAATCCATATACACATGGCATGGGCGTGGCAATGGTGAAGATCATCATTACATATGGCTGCTTGTATGTCACAGTTTTCACCAATCATTGGCGGGAAACATGGATATCTACATTTACCGTTACCATGGAGTCCCGAATCACACATATCTTGCATACATGTGCATTCTGAAAATACATAAAATGTTCTATCTTAAGTGTCTCAGCTTTCTTTAGTTAAAATCCAACAAAAATAATAATAAAATGAAATCTAAGAATAATTACTGCAGCTGGCCTCTCAATTGTTTGTTTAGATCTCTGGCTGCATGTAATAAAGACATACCAAATTGCTGCCAAAACTAGCATCATAACTTAAAATACAAACAAAAAAGACCTGATCATGTTTCAAGGATAAATAACATAAATCTTTATAATAAAAAAATGACAACAAAAAACAACTTTATACCAAGAGGGCCAAGATGGACCCTGGATCGCTCACCTAAAATTCACTGCTAGAAAAGGTCAGAGTTTTTAGTCTTTAATGCTAAAGTCAGTATTAAGGTCACTTTGGTTTGTCAATTTTTTAACAGAGCTGAGCAATTTAAAATATTAGGAGATTCTGGTACAAAAGGTTGCAAGACAAAATTAATATACCCAATGTTCTTTGCCCACAGGTGGAACCAATTTGGACGCCAGGGAATTTTTTAGAGGACCACAAAGTGATGCTACATGCTCTGTGCATTGTTATTTAAGATACAACTTTTTAAAGACAATTTAAACTATAAAGTCAACCTCTATATTGTGACCCCAAGGGTGTTTTTTTATTCCACAGGGGCATGACTAAATACCTTTTGTAGAGGTCAAATAGCCAATGAAACATGCCAAACATCAAAGCTCTGGGCACTGTTATTTCTGAGGAGAAAACAAAAGCATTTTTCAACATAGGTATACAACCTAAGTGACCCCAGGGCAAGTCCAATTTTAATCCAAAGGGCATAATTTATTTACATTACTTTTGTTTAGGATCACCAGTTGAAGCTACATGCAAAGCATCCAAGCTCTGGTCATTGTACTTTCTTAGATTATTTTCATATACAAGACTATGAGAACCCTGGGGCATGACTTATGTAACTTTTGTAGAGGACAAGGTGCGCTACATGCAAAACATCAAAGCTCTAGGCATTGTACTATTTTAAAGGAAGACTTTTAAGACATTTTTACTATACAAGTCAATGTATATTAAGTGACCCCCAAGGGCCGGACCATTTTTGACCCAAGGGACATAACTTTAATAATTTTTGTAAATGTTCACTAGGCAATGGAATATTCCAATATCTAAGCCATTTGCATAACAGTTTAACACATTAAAGAATATTTAAATCTATTTTTTCTAAACAAGTCTTTATAAATGGATATACCCAATTTGACCTGAGAGGCATGATATACAATAAATTATATATGAAAATATTTGAGGACCACACAGTGATGCCATAAGCAAAATATCTAAGCTCAGAGCAGAAGAAGATTTTAAGATCTAATGTTTAATTTCAAGTCTATTTTTAGCTCCTGTGACCTACTATTGCACCAGGCTGGAACCATTATAACTTTTGTACAGAATCACCTTAAAGGATCATTCCTGTGAAGTTATGTCAAATCCACCAAGGTTAAGGAAAGAAATTTTTAGATAACAACAAACATTGAACATTGGACACACTGCCATCACAAAAGCTCACTTTGTGCTCAGGTGAGCTAAAATAAAACAATCATGCAGTTTTGCAATAAATTTTGTAAGTTTTAGGGAGATTATGGAATTGGAGGAGGGGGAGATGGGGGGAGATATGTAACAGGATATTCTTGGTATCAGAAATATTTTATGAAATTTGAAAGCCTAAAATCAATTTAGGTCATAGTGCTGGCATCTTTATCAAGTTGATTTTAATTCCAAACTACGCATTTATCAATGTCGAAACAAAATATCATGAAAAACCCATTCAACAATCTAATATCTGTTTAAAATGTTACTTTCTCATGAAATTATAACATTTCTTAACAATATTTTGGAGAAAGTTCCAAAAAAAAGTTTAAAATCGTAGTTTTTAATCTTTGGCCAATGACGTAGATCAGTTTTAATATATATGATATTCCATTGCTGTGAAAATTGAACAAATTGTGAAACAAGGAACGCCTTTATTTTACTGGCTTCTATGCAAGTCATTTTTATAGATAAGGGAAGAATGATGGATTCGTATATTTATAGGGAGGATGAAAACTCTGACAGAAATTTTATGTAACTTCATTTAAGATTCCAAAGATTAATAGGGCAGGAATATTTCCAAAATTCTTAAGTGTTTACATTTTTTATTCATTTACTTTTTATTTTATTTTTATTTTAAGCTGAAGTTTTATTGACCATTAAACATTAAAGGTACTGAGATTTTTTTTAACATGAAGTCTCAATCAGTAATAACTTGTGTTTATTTGCTCACTCTCTTTTTCAAAAATAATCATTTTAATTGTTCAAAATGGCCCAAAATGAAAGGTATTGAAATGCTTTTAACTCAGATCACTTCTAATTTTGCAAATAAAAAAAACAAAAAAACCCCAAAAAACAAGAAGCACCGCAATATGACGAAACCAGATTTTCAATGACTGAGTTTTGATGTGACAGGAATCAATAGATCAAAGTGCACTGAAGTTATTGAGCAGAAGTTAAAAATTATATTCTAAGCAAATGACCTTGACATTGCTCCCAGATATCTAAGTGGCAATCCCAAGTTGCCACAGTCAAATGGTCAAAGCAAACTCAAGTCATATGTGAAAGCAGAATTTCGTTTTTAACCAACAATGACATTGACCGTGTTCACAGACACCTGGTTAGCAATCCCAAGTTGCGTCTTGATATAAGCTACCCTCATACTAAATCTTGTGTCAATAGGTCTAAGCAAACTCAAGACATTATGCAGAGACTGAATTTCTATCTTTAGCAAAATTGACATTGATCACAGACATCTTGTTGCGTTCTGACATAAGCTACCCACACACCAAATTTGGTGTCAATAGGTAACAACTAACTCAAGTTATTGAGCAGAAACTGAATGTCCAACTTTAGCAATTAAGTGACATTGACCTTAATCATAGTAACCTGGGTAGGCAAAATTGACATTGATCACAGACATCTTGTTGCGTTCTGACATAAGCTACCCACACACCAAATTTGGTGACCTTGATCACAGACACCTGGGTAGCAATCTTTGATATAAACTACAAACACACCAAGTTTGGTGTCAATAGGTCAAAGCAAACTGAAGTGATTATGTGGAAATTAAATTTCTATTTTTAGCAACAGTGGCCTAGACCTTGATCACACACGTCTGGGTAGCAATCCCAAGCTGCCTTTTGATATAGGCTACCTCATAATACACCAAGTTTAGTGTCAATAGGCCAAAGCAAACTCAAGTTATTGAGCAGAAACTTAATTTCTATTTTTAACAAAGACACTTGGGTAGCAATCCCAAGCTGCCATTTAATATAAGCCACCCATACACCAAGTTTGAAGTCTATATGCCAAAACAAACTCAAGTTATTGAGCTGAAACTGAATTTCTATTTTTAGTAACAGTAACCTTAACCACTGACACCTGGGTAGCAATCCCAAGCAAGCTGTCTCTTGATATAAGCTTCCCATACACAAAGTTTGGTGTCAATAGGCCAAAGCAAACTCAAATTATAGAGCGGAAACTAATTTTCTATTTTTAGTAACAGTGACCTTGACCTTAATCACAGACACCTGGATAGCAATCCCAAGCTGCCTTTTGATATAAGCTACCTCATATACACCAAGTTTGGTGTCAATAGGCCAAAGCAAACTCAAGTTATTGAGCGGAAACTTAATTTCTATTTTTAACAAAGACACTTGGGTAGCAATCCCAAGCTGCCATTTAATATAAGCCACCCATACACCAAGTTTGAAATCTATATGCCAAAACAAACTCAAGTTATTGAGCTGAAACTGAATTTCTATTTTTAGTAACAGTAACCTTAACCACTGACACCTGGGTAGCAATCCCAAGCAAGCTGTCTCTTGATATAAGCTTCCCATACACAAAGTTTGGTGTCAATAGGCCAAAGCAAACTCAAGTTATTGAGCGGAAACCAAAATTTGATGCCTGTCCGCCAGCCAACTTCAGCTTAAGTTTTTGTATAAAACCTGGTTAAAAGTATTGTATCAAAATATCATCTTTTGAAAATTTTCAATTTTAAGTAAATAAGCTAGCTGATTTATGTTGAATTTAAATTTTAAAGAAAGTCATCTTGCAATTTTTACTAGTTATTTCAACAAAGGCTGTCCAAGGAGCAACATGCTCCATTTCTCTGAGTTCCAATTTTCTAAAGAAAAAGATCATTTGAATTAAAGGTCATATTGACCTATGATCAAAATATGGGCAAGGCAGGTTAAGTTATCACAATGCATCAACATATAAGGTTTCAATGTCATAATTTTAAGTAAAAACTTGATCCAAAAAAAATAACATTGATCATTGTGACCTTGACCTTTTGACCTAAAATGAGTATCATCTACATACTAAGTTTTACAATGAATTTTGTTTAAGTGGTCAGTTTTATGCTAACATTTATTATAGGTCCTAGTGACTTTGATTTTTTTTTTTAGATGAAAATGAGCAAGGCAAGAAGAAGGCATCAGGGCCCATCCACAAATAAGGTTTCAATGTAATAGCTTAGTTTAAGTATTGAAGTTAATGCAAACTTAAACCCAAAGTAAACCATGTGCAGCCCATGCATTTAGCTCAATAGGGAGAAAATCAGATTCATAATCCAGGGTTGCTGGTTCAATCCTTGAACAAGGCCTTATTTCCCCATAACAACTGATGTTGAACAATGAGTTTATTATGAACTCATTAAATTTGTCACTGGAAAGGAAAGCTGGTTGGCTGGATCGATGTATGTCAAGATATGACAAAAAATTGAGTTGAAATTGGTGTAAAAACCTGACAGACAAGCACTGCCATTCAGTAGGTCATGACAATATCTTCTCTAAATTTTCTTTAAAAAGTTGAGCTAAAAATATTCTAAACCATTAAAATACTATTATACAAAGCTACTTCTTAATATATAAATTGAATTTATTATGAGTGTTACCCAGCAGGTAAACAAAGCTAAGAAAAATACTTG